CTTCCCAAAAGCAACGTGATAGGCGTAGATCACTTCAATTGAATTATTTTATGTTTTAAAATTGGACAATCCTAAAAAAATTCTCTTGTGATGAAAAAGTACAAACATAACACAAAACTGATTATCCCTGACCTGGTATTTTTTACATAAACAAAATTAATTCCAATCAGTTTATCTTATTTTTTATAAATAGAAAATAGACAAGGGGGTGGGGTTAAAAAAAATAAATTGTGAAGGAACAACTGTAACCTCCCTCTTTATTCTGGGGAAAGAACATGATAATTCATCATACTTTCATCCACAGAAAAAAATCCAAGCAAGCCACAAGTCAAAGTCAGAAGGTTATCTAAAATAAAGACATTTAGGAACTGTTTATTAAATTACTCAGTTACTTTTCTGTTTCTGAATGATGATGAATGTGCTGCTTCATAGATTCCCATGAGCTTCCAAACCTGGGTACTACCGATTTTCGCTACTAAATTGGGATTACAGTATAAATGTTAAATTGAAACTTTACCATATTCCTGAACCCACATAACAAAACAGACTGCAAGTATTCTTCTAAGCATCTAAATTAAAAGGATCCTACCAGATCCACTCTACTACTCTACTGCAAGCGATTGATGAGAACCACAGAAGTAACATACAAAGTAATTAACATTACAGAAAATCCAAATTATAGTTATCATATTCTTACACAGAAAAAAATAGTTGAGTATTTTCTAATGATGTGTGTATTTTAATTTAAATATAGTCAAATTTACACTACCGATTAATAGACACTTTCTCTGTCAGGACTATTCATTCTTTAGTCATATCAATTCCAAGGGGAAAATTCCAAATGATCCAGTAAATGCAGACATGGCATCCATTACAAATAAACAGCCAGTATATGTAAACCTCACAACTTGTTTTCATATCCCAATGACAGCATGCGGTAATGAACTTTCTGGTCAGAAAGCCTTTGTAAGACCCGGAAAGGGAAAGAAATATATACTCCCAAATACTAATTACTCATATGCTTAATACTCAACCTCTTCAAAAATCTGGAGATCAGCCAAAAAGTGTCATAAATGGTTTGACTTTGTACCAGAACACCATTTATCAGCATTCTTAATTTCTATCTGTGCAGACTGTGCTTAGTACTTAGCAATGAAATAGCTAAATATAACAGCAGTGCTAATTAGATCATACATAAGTGTTTGAGAATTTTGATTATAACCTACAAGTCTTTATTAAATTCAGCTAAGGAACATCAACCACATCTGCTACAGCCGTCACAAAACTGAAGGTGCTTGTGTTCACAGGGGATGATGCAGAGCCTCAATACGTTAGTGGGTACACAGGTGTCATCTGAAATGTGACTCTTCAGTAGTGCAGCCGAGTAACTTGTAGTTGTAGACCTACTTCTGCCTAAACTAATATCCATTGGCTTATCTATACAGTAAAGAAGTACAGTTACTCATCTTGAAATAAGGATATGAGGTCTCAGCCAACCATACTGTTTAGGAAAACAAAGCATTAATAGCAGTAGGTGGAAGGATGGATGCTGAGTTCCTCTGTACGGGATCTGCATGCAAGGGCACAGTTACGACACTTGGCACTTCATCCTCTGTCTTTGTCTCTCTCCCCTTTACCCCTCCAAATCTCATTCTAAAAGTTTTACAATTTTTTCGTGCAGAAATATATTCCATTTTGACAAGCTCAGTCATTACTTATGAAGAAGCAGGCATTTCTCATCGCTACGCTGAAATTACTTAAAACAATGAACTAATTAAGAAAAAAGTTTTAGATTAAATACTGAGAACAAAAGCAGCACAAAAGCAACCTCTCCTCTCCTTCCCATATTGGGTTTTGCTGTTCTATGCTACCAAAATGAACAGAAGTCATCCTGCCAAAATAAATCAAAAACCAGTGACCTCAAGGGGGAAAAAAGTTTTACCTCAAATATACATGTGTAAAGCTAATATCCAAAAAGTCATCAGTTTTTATATAATTAAAATCACAATGTTTTCATGTAAAAACTGTAATTAAAATGCTACCTACAACTGATCTCAGATTTTTTTTTTTTTTTTTTAAACACATACATATTTGAAGGTTTCTCATTGCACTTGGCAATAGCAGTAATTACCAGTGGAAATTTAGAAGTTCAGCCAATATAGCAAAGAGAAATGGAATACATTTCAGAAATTTCAGTAAATTATTCTGGCTTCATTTTCATTTTACAAACTCAGTAATGTTAAGGTTGTTACGATATCCAAAATAAAGATTACGAACAAACTGTGAATCTATTTAAATCAAATTATACTTATTTTTCCATTTTCTAGAATAATTTTCAAGACTTCATTATATCAGTTGATGATATATACCCCAAACCAGATAAATCAAGTCTTTAATATAATTAAAGTTTACTTAAGTAAACTTGTTAAAAAAAAAGAATGATTTAAAACTCATACATTTACTTTGTTTGAACTTTAACGAGCAGAACAGATACAATTCGTGGCGTTAAAATTATTCAGGCACGATAAAAGCTAAAAATATGTCCTTGCTGAATCCTGAACATGAGATTTCCACAGACAACGTATGCCTTGTTTCCCACAATCAAACTGTCACAGCATGAAAACATTCTCCTGCGTGTGGAGGTTTTGATACCCATTTCCCTGGTGAAAGTATGCAAAAGGATCTGAAAGAGTTACTGACAATTCATACAGTATCCCATATTTCATTAGATAGTACAAGCAGAGAACATATATCTTAACTCTGAAGGGAGATGAAGCAACAATGTTTTAAATGACTATTGACTCCACTAAATTTCCTGATAATGTCAGAAGACTGTAGTCTGTCAGGTTCATAAGAGACTCAAGATGATACAGGAATCCAATTATGTGAAGTCTATTTAGTTGTCCTGTTTGCTAAGCCAAAGGTTAACGAGAACTGCACTGAAAAAACCTCCTGTGGTATTACAAAGTATTTCTTATGCTGCATAACATGTAAATGAAAAAGTATTTTAATCAAGTCTTTCGTTAACTCTTTAATTGCAATGGAATACTATACAATACAGCAAGTGAAAAACGACAGAAAAAGTGATTTTAAAAATTTGCCTCTGAACTAAAGACATCATGGCTAATTACTAAAGTAATTATTACTGAACATTTTTAATCTGCAAAGGAAAAAACGTTCAGATCACAGAACCATAGATAGTCATTGCTAACATTAAATCTTTATAAATAGTAAACTATGGCCTCTAATTTTAGACAGAAATTAATTATATTTTTGTTGGTAACACATTCAAATCTGTTTACACAGCTGACAAGTCTCAGCTGCACCAGACTCGAGCAGTGAGCTTTGAGGACTCTTCTGCTTTGGAGCAGATGACTCAACATTCACCGATTTCATTAAAGATGAAAAGGCGAAAAATTCACCTGCAACAATGTCACTTGTAAAAACAGACTTAAAACAGATTTATGAGTTTTACATATGTGAGGTATCCTATGCAAAAGAAAGGGGGGGGAAAAAAATACGGGAAAACCTAACAGCTGTGGGAAAACGGATTAGAAGTGTTGAGTTTCCAATTCTTTTTTGGGCTAATGTAAACTAATAAAATGTTAAAATGGATCCACATTTCAAAGACTGTAATTACCACATGACACCATGCTGTTATTTCAGATCTTACATCTATCATCTCAGCTATGCTCTTGAATACATGGACATAGATTTACCCACCTCTCTCAAACTTAACTACCGTTTCTGCAAACACTACCACAGACGTATTTTACAAGTATATTAGAAATATTAGAAATTCAGACAGTCTTTGCCCCCTTTTTTTTTTTTGATTAGCATAAATCCTTTAACCAGAGCAAAAAAGCAGCAGTCTTACCATACAAACAGCAATTCTCCCTCTACAAGAAGAGAGTAGAAACGGACAGGAAAGTAACGCACTGAAAACAATGCTAATACATAGAGAAAGCAAATCCCAATTCCATTTTCACTTTGTAGAATACTCAGGTTCAATCCCTAGTTTAAATGAATGATTTTATAAAAATAGAAATATTTTTTTTTTCTACATTTTTCTCAGGTCACAAAATCTATATACAACATAACTACATAATTATTTCAGCATTTTAGGCTTTTTTTTTTTTTTTTTTTTTTTTAAAAAAAGGGGCCCCCCCACGCGGGGCGTTAGCTGGCATTGGGAACATACTACCAGAAGAAAACTGTCTGAGCAAAACTGAAAGACATGCTGTAAAACACACTGTAGGGACAGCCATGCAAGGAAGCAAGTCTAATATTTAATGGAATTCTGCAGTTAAGTCCTACAATTTTATGAATTTGTAGGCAATTCACAGTTAGCTGATTCTGTCACTGAGGGTACATATTGATCTCAACTAAGATTTCCTTCCATTTCTAAATAATGGTAATTCTAAAACCTGCAAAATACATTTGAAAATTGAATACATATTGTACTGTACACATATTATTTACTATTTCAAAATGTAATCTTGCAAATATCCATAAATTCTTACTGGTCCAGCAAGAACCACAGTAGATACTTTACAAGCAAGTGAAGCTCTCCACCAATTTCAACAGGAACACCTCCTGCTTAAAGCCAGACACAGGCTTAAGAATACCAGTGACCTGATGAACACAACTGAGGAAAATATCTAGATATGCACTCAGAATACATGTAAAAAACAGGATTTCTTTTCCCTGAAGCTCTATCATTGCAGTAGACCTCCTCAACTTCCACAATGTTGCGCAGCACGTCTCCTTCTAGTCTAAAACATGCACTGAATCTGATGCACATTAATAATTTCCATGGAAATGTGCTTTAGTAAGCCAGTAATTTAGTATTTGTGCCTTTCAAGATAAAGCTGTGAAGTATGTGTAATGATAAGTTACTGCATATGGGACACTAAAAGCTATTGGGTGATTCTGATCAAAAATCCAAACAAAATCAGCTATTTGTAGGAAGAAATGAAATGAGAAACAAAGCTACTTACTGAGTCATCTGTGGCAGAAGGAGGCCAGCCTTCCCATAACTGGTGACGGACAGGGATACTAGTTAGGTCATACACATTTCGCTTTACCTAGCAAAAAAAAAAAAACACCAAACCCAAAAAAAACATTCAGAACCTGTACCAACAGAAGCATACAGGCAAACTACATTCTTTTCATCATAATCCCAAGCTTTTTATTTTGTTTTTTTCCAATTACTTATTGTAAAACAGGTTCCTCCAACACTTGAAGATTCAGATCTGTTCCACAGGTTTGCATGCAGCACTGCTGAATTTCAGTGCTGCCGAAAGCAACTGAACAAACTATGTTAAAGAAGAAAAATAATCTATAAAGTATCATTTGTAATGATACAGTATTACTGAAGTATCATAAATGTGTAAAACAATGTATAATACGAATTTTCCAGTAAATGTATTACAAAGTAATGATCAAACTGAAGGGAAGCAGAAGGTAATAACAAATTACAGTTTGTTACAGTTTTTGCTAGTTAACATACTCTGTTTCCACCTGAAAATTTTAGGTTCCTGCTAATACAATAAGAAAACCAACTATTTTTGCATAAGTTTCTTAAACGGGATAAAAAAATAAAAGTTATAGTATTAAACATGAAAATATGAATTAATAAGCACATTTCCAATGAAGACAGCCCATTTCAAACACTTATTAACAAAACACAAATAAACTGATTTTTACATCAACTCTTTTCTTATGCTATTAAAATACAAGTCTCTACCATTAATCTCACATGATGGTTGTCAGGAGGAAGGGAAGGGGAAAAGAAGAATGAGTTGAAAATTTCAAATACAGGAAGAATGCTGCAAAATATGAGAGTTACAAAACTCTTTCCTCAAAAACATTAACAGAGATAAAAAAGCTGGCATGTTTTACCTAAGCGCACTTACCCTAAGTTAACAACTTTGTCTGAACAGAAAAATTATTTAAAAGAAAAAAAAAAAAAAATCAGTAAGAAAGCTGAAATTTGTCAAAATGAGAACTACTAACATAATCCATATATTTAAAGGTTTCTTATTCAAGAAATGAATGAAAGATGATTCTAAACTACCATGCTTAGGGACATAATACAATAAAACAAAGCGATATACTATACGGACATTTTATATAATTTGACCCTAACTATTAATCGGTACTTGCCATAGCTTCATCACGGAAGCACAGCTGAGTTTTGAATACATGGTAAGGTAATATGGTAATATAAACACATGGAATGTGCATATGTTCCCTCAAAATTTGGCATTTATTTTTAGTACAGAATGTACATGCAACATCTGGCAGTAGCTATTCATCTAAAAATGTGTTTGCATAATGAAATAGCACCAAAACTCTTTTTCTCAGGATCATCTTTAGAGAGAAATGCTGCACAGATCCTTCTGCTTAAATTTTGCACATAGTTCAAGCACATTAATACGTGGATGAAGGATGTATGTGCAGACATTAAGTGGCAAAAGAACTGTTCTAATCATTGTAAATATCCTAAGGGGTGTGAGGGAGGAGGCAGGGATTTCCACACATATGCTTGCTCACAAATGTTGATTTGGGCAACATTCTTCAAAAGACTCTTCATGGCACTGCTGCATGAGTTTGCCAACAAATAAATACAACTGAGCAAATTCAGGGCATATAGAGAGCAAACACAAAGTACAGTGCTCTTACTGTATTTCCAGTTCTCAGATCCTCCATTCAGTGACTGTTGCTCATTCTCACTACTTTTAGCAGTAGTAGTATTTCATACTAATAAAGTGCCCCTTCGTAAAAACTGTGAAGAACTGTCTCCCATTTCTGGATAGATTTAATATATAGGCTGTGTGGGTAATAATTTCAAGACTATCAGTTTAAAGCTTTATAAATATAAATATTCTGCACAGATGAGTGGAAAACAATGGCTTCAAATTATTATCTAACAGCAAGATACGTTACTTCCAACTCTTGAGTCTACACTTCACTAAAGGATGAAAGTCAGACCATGTTGGTTCCTTATCTGGACATTTCAGTATGATAACATATAATGGGTTGGATTTTCAGCTCAGCTGTACATTCATTGTATATTTTAGAATCATTAAGATCTCACTCCTCTTTTTTGTAAACCCAGTAAATTACACGTACACCCGATAACCTTTAGGTTAATATTGGTTTTGTTCAGGAGTTTTTGCAGGGAGACCTATCTGGTAACTATATTTCAATTAAAAAAATTTACAACTATATTTTAATTAAAAAAATTAAAACAACATTCTTTTGCTTTAGACACAGAATACTGAAGTATTTATAATTAAAATGCACTTCATATTAGTCCTTTCTCATATTTAAGCATGTTGTTATGCTTTAAAAAATACAAATATACCTCAATTATTAAAAACTTATTTAAATACATTTCAAATACACAGATATATGGTATATTCTTTTATATATATGAATATGCATATGTGTACACACACCTGTGAAAAATGGAATTATGGAAGACCGAACTCTATAGAATTTGGTATATGATCTCATTCCTACTGTTCAAAACAAACAGCCTTTCTTCACTGCTTCTTAACAAGAAGGTAGCCTGCTGTGCAGTATTCGTTTCACAGTAGTATCAAGGTAAAGAGAAGTCATTACTCCGTACTGACCCCACAACAGCCCATCAAAATGTAACAATACTGATCTGTGATCACAAGAATACGGTTCTTGCTATTTTAGTTTTCTTGCATTAAATACAGAGATAAACTGTCCCTGTGAGATAACTATTTTCCAATTACACATCAAAAAAGTCTTATTAACATTATTTTCACAATATAAAACTCTAAAATGAGCTATTTTCAAATAACAAGTGAAACTTATTTACAGAAACGTAGGATCAATACAACTACATAATATTGTTTTCAAAAAGCCTTCAGAAGTAAAAATAAATAACTCAGAAGTCACATTCCTCAAATTCCCTTTTAATTCCAAAGTACAACAGAAAGGCATTATGAGAAAAACAGTATTTCCCTTCTTTCATTAACTCATCTGTAACTGCACTGAATTCAATAACATTCCTCTGCTATTCTAAGCTTGAAAGGCATGCTCGGGGTAAAGTGTTATGTTGGTATAAAGCACAATGCCAGACTGATGTGCTGGACAAAAGTGATCAAAGTTGAAGTAATTTTAGCCAACGCACAAGTATTCTGCTGCATTATTCTACCAGAATGACATCTGTTGAGCAACTCGTCGCAGAATAAACTAGTTGTTATAGACAGGCCTGGTCGGGTAGGGGACCATGTAAGACTTATTAGAGTAATGTTTGATTAAACAAACTGCTTGAGTTAAGATCATAACTGGATTTGGAATTCATGCCAAAGTAGTCCTCTTTCAAACAACAAGCCACAATCAATTATTTAAGATAAAATAAGCTTGCTTTTAAATAACTATTTAATTTTAGGTTTGTTTGATAATTAGAATACTACTAAGAAAGCAGACTGCAAAAGTTTTAGAGACTAGGAATATTTACTAATCAAGTACAGAAAACCCCTTTTCTTCATTAACTGACTTAATTTCAGTTTAAAGTTAAAGGAGGAAAAAGTTCGAAAGATTTGTATAAAGCAGAACTATAAACTACTTCTTCACTAGGCCACTGAAATAAAAACCTACGGCTATACTCTTCATGCAACTGAAAAAAGTTAGCATAGTAAATGGATGAAGTCTGGTTTAGGGCTTTTCTTTATAAATTCACGATATTGATAGGAGGACTGAAATCTTTCTAAATTTGTGTAAAGCAAACTCTAACTTCTAGTGCCATCCACTGAGCTACATTTATTGGCAAACTTTTTGGTCCCCCACCTTTGATCAGTTCGAAATACTAATTGGTGGCATTGTCTTTGTGCAGCCCAGAATTTCTTTTCATAATGTTCAGATGCCATGGTGACTGGCACATTACTATGGCAGCCACCCTTCAGATTATATCTCCAGAATATACGAGATCATTTAAAAACAAATTAAAGGCACATCTATTTGGTTCCGCAACTCAGCTGTGAACAGTATCAACACAACCATTTAAACCAAAAAAAATACCCCATATATTTCAGATGCAATTTTACTTGGAAAATTATGTATAATTCCTGCAGAACGCCCTGCCTTGCAGCTATACACTGATGGTGGAGAAGCACATGAAGTTTTACCTTCAGCTCATTTTCACTGGTGTTAGAAGGGAATTAAAATACTAAACAACTTTTACTATTTTAAGAAAACCCATACGTCAAAGCAGCCAACACACTGAGAAAACTTCCCAGATATAGGCAGAGTCTTACTTTCTTATTTTCCACTGTTTTTTTTAAGCGATGAGTATGTTGCTTTAAAAGGAAGGTTAAACACAAAAGATACACTTTGTTTGTAGATATGAAGTTAATCCAACATTCAAAGCCCTTCCACATCCATATTAGTAAGAATAAAATGAAGTAAAATGTATCACAGGGCAAGAAGTCTGTACCAGGTAATGTGATGATGATGACGACCTTCTGATGGTTTCACTTAGCAGGAATAAGTAGCTATTTTCTTTTCTCTGAATTAGAAAAATCTGAAATCTACTGTCAAAAAAAAAAAAATCTAACACCGACCGAATTGTTAAAAAAAATAAATTTATGCTGAATCATCAAAGAACTGTCGTGCCTGAATCCGTACCTTCGAATCACAACAAATCACAACAAAGTTTAACAGTAGTTTCCCTTAGGCTGTTTTCCACTTATGCAGGTACAAAGTTAATTGAAATAATGTAGATAATGAACTTTTGTTAGTCTTATTATTAAATATAATTTATGCAAAGCTGTAAATTGGCTGAGATGCTAAAGACTGTTCCAGGCACATAGGCAGCATGAAAGACAGTGCAAAAATGAGTGCATGAAAGGCAGACAAAAGGAGCAATAAAGTCAGAGGACTGTGAGGAATGTGGAATGCGAGTTGGGGGACGCGGGGAAATGAGATCAGATGCAGACAGAGCAAGGTTGCATGGGGCACTGATAGTAAAGCAAGAATCTTGACTTTGACATTGTAACAGAGAAAAAGCCAAGACAAGTAAGCAAAATTTTCATGGGACAGCAAC